TGCACAGCGCTTCATTGGGTCAGAACACGGCAACTGGCAGCCTGAGCAACGAGTCGTAACCTGACGGCAGCACACAGCTCACGCGGTCATCCCACGGCTGAACTCTGCCAGATCAACCCATACACGAACACACCTCACAGGGGTTTCCTTCACTAAACCAAGAGTGGGACCTTTTGCCAGCGAATCATCCATTCCCTCGTAAAGCAGAGCGCACTACTTGTCCGTAGGGCACAATTAGTAACACACACAAAGAGACTTCAGGGCAAAGGCAGAATAATAATGGTTATAGATATGGATGGATATATACAATATATAATTTAAAATTTTATTTTAAAACTTTGCGCATACACTTCTTCAGCATCCTCCTCGTTTGTTCATTGCACTGAAAAGTTTCAAAAAACACAAAATATATCCCTTTACTAAACATTTTTTGTTCTTAGGTTACAAAAAGATTAACATTTCACAGTCACAAAGCATAAGTACATTGGTCCAAAACATCTTCCTCCAGCAGGTCCTCCATTCTTCAGGACATATAAAACCTAGACAGTTGTACAGATCTCAAAATAAGATGACTTGTTCAATGAAGGAAAGAAAAAGGTGGCAGCTATTAAAAAAAAAACAAAACAAAACAAACCAAGACACCTATGAAAGAACACCACCAGCAATGGTTAAAAAAAAAAAAAAAGAAAAAAAAAGAAAAAAGAATGGGAGTGGAGGTGGACAAGGGCATCCTCCTTCAAGTACACACAGGTAGAAATACAGCAGCACAGTTACAGCATCATTTGGTCACTCTCTCTGTGGTAACCACATCACTAAATCTTCATTTAAGACACATGAAGGTAAACTATTTACACATCAGAAATGTCGGGGAGGAACAACAATTCCACACAGTTTGTAAGTCATGTTTGATACAAAAATGTTGAAAGTATTTGTACATAAAATGTAAAACAAAAGCAAAATGCTGAGGCAGGAAGAAACAGCGGATTTGCTTAGAGCGTGTAGTGTTCTTAAAAAAACCTAGCAAAAGTTCAAAGTCAAAGTCTGCCCAAACATCAAGTGATCATTTTCTTCAAAAATATCCTGGAGGCACAGAGTTGACTGTACCTCACAGACTTCTCATCATATTCTAACACGGAAGTAACATTAACATGGAAATCCACTGTTAACAACAGACTCTGACCACTCCTCATGTAGCTTGTTAGCCCTGTTGTTTTTTAGAATTTATGAAAAAAATTCTCTCTCTCTCCAGCATGAGGACACTGAACATCAGCCCTCTCAGACAATACACTTTTCTGTTCATGAAGGAAGAAGCATCGTTGCCTTAAGAAACCAAAAGACGGTTGTGTGCCTCACTTAAGGGATAAATGAGATTTCTAACTACCTTCTTCATCAAATTAAACAAAGATTTGAGGATGCAGTGCAAGAGAAAAACGTTCAAAATGGCTGTACTACCTTCTGCAACAGTATCCGCGGGACAATGGTACAAGTTCCTTGGTTTTGAGCTTCTAGAAACTGGACTGGACCAGGCACCAGAAGACAGCGTTACACCGCACTGTCAGCTAACCTGAATCATGCAGCATACCACCGCCTTCCCTTGCCGTTGTCCGAGGAAGGACAAGAACTCGCCTGACTTTCTAAGCAGCGCCTACGTACAGACACGGCCCTGCACGACAGCAGGACGGATACAGAGACGTAGCGCAGGACTGAGGCTCCTTGCTGCTAAGGCTTGAACAGTTTGGATACTAAGGGAACTTCACTGGCAAAAAATCAGCACTGCCGGCATCAAGCAGTAACTAAGATGATGCGCCAAGGATCAAAAATTTGGACTTGGTGCCTAACTTGCTCCAGTTTGAGGCGGTGAGCTGTCTGCTCCTCACTCCGGAGCTTCCCCGAGCCCCAGAGCAGCTGCCTGGGGCAATAGCTGCCACAGCAGCCTGCACGTGGCAGTATCAATCCTGGGACTATCTGAAAAATGGAATTGTGCACGATGGATTCTCCCTGCCATCAGCAGCTTCTAATGCTGTGACTCCCAAAATCATTCAACCTATAAAGGGAATTGGAAATGCTTTTATTATTGCTGCTTCTCACACAATGCCTCCCCAGTAAGCGACTCCTGCCCCCTACCTGGCGTGTGTAGGTGCTCATACCACACCTCGACGCAGAGCACAGGCCACTCTGCAGGCGCCTGGGAAGCTCCTACTGAAAGCAGAGAAAAGTGAAAGCTCAAGTGCTACCGCAGCGTGTCAGAGACGGACCAGAGACGCTCCGGGGAGGCAGCATGTAAACGTGTTAACAGACACCTTGTAAAAACGTGAAACAAAAAGCATCGCAGAATCGTTTCAGTCACATACATCAGAGCAGGAAGCTGTTTATTATCCTTAAAAGTTCTCAGAATTTATTAATTGATGCCAATTGATATTAATTGTTGATACTGTACTTCTGGCCTTTCCAGGAGAGGGACTGGCAGCGAACACAACTTGGCCGGGGCCAAGTCCATGTCTCCAGGGGTATGTTTAAAAACACCCCTGAATGAGAAGGTGCATTTTCCATTGCCTTGAAGTTTCACTTTTAAATTGTGGCAAATGCTATGCTGGAAATTTATTTCCACCACATTGTACTCAGTTGTTTTAGGACTGGCATGTGTGTTGACACCATGTCACCAAATAATGAAGACTAACAATGCATGGGCACTGAAATATTTGACTGAGGCTTGTAGCTGGTACCAGCAAGCACCAGCTTCTTCGCGGTTGAGATGACTCCACAGGAATTGCCAGCATTAGTTTCTTTGTGAAAGAGGATCTAAATTGCTAGAGGACTACACAACTGCATTTGCAAAGAGACAACAGGAGTTACACAGAGCATGAAAAGCATGTTTACAAGTTTATTAGGCCAAAAAATAAGTGCAAGAGAAGACCTCTTGCTTAAACTTTAAAACATATGAGGGGCCATGTGAAAAACATTCTAGGCTCCAAACCTCTCTTTTCATCCAGCTGCACACAGAAAAAGAGGCAAAGGGGGAAAAAAAAAATAAGGAAAGAATAGATAAAGCATGACAACACATAATCAGATATGCCATTGATTTATGCTGAAGCTCTAGAATATAAAACATCCATGTTCTGCACAGCTTTACCACATGCAAGCACTGGGGAACGAAAGGAAGAGTTTCCAGCTAAACTCAGGCTGTTTGCTGCACGTTTGAGCTGAGCTGTTGCCCACTCTGTGCTGCCTCCTCTCAACCTGAACTCCTCCTGGGTCTAGAGGTTTAGAGCAAGGGTAGTTCAAGTCCATCGAGACTGTTGCACATGTGCTTCCGGATGCAGCCAAATGAAGCACCTGGGCAGCTCCACTGCACACGCACTGCGCCGTGTTTACCCAGCACGTTATAAACCACGAGACTGGCAAGCTCTCAGCCACGCTGGCTCAGGGGAGAGTCTGCCAAGGGCACAGCATCCCCGTTGTCCTTTGGAAAGGTCGCAACATCTGTGAGCTGCCTGGTCAGTGCCCTGCAATTAAGTCAGCTCCCTGTCTTTTGACTATCCAAGAAGTACAAGCCAGACGAGCAGCTCCAAAACAACAGTCAGGGGCAAATTAGGTTGAACTTGGCTCCCCAGTTAATGTACCTGCCTATACGCTAGAACCTTCTGAACTTTTTTCAATTCCTGCCAATGAAGTAAAAGAGCTGCCTGCTTGAAGAACAGGCAGCCAGGCTAAACTGCAGATTTGCTCACTTGTTTCCCTCTTGGACTATTACTTTTACTCTGATAACGTTTTACTTGGATTTTCTTTATTTGAATTGATTCAGCACTGCTAAGAAAACAGTGGATGAAGATAGCCAAGGGCTTGTATCTATCACAGTGATCTTGTGATCCTTGACTACAGTCCTCAGTACCAAGAGGACAAAGTTATAAGCTGTCACTTTCTGATCACCAAGTCAAGCAGGCAAAGGTATACTGAATAACAAGCGAGGCAGGAAGAAGTGAAACTACTTTTAAACAGATCACTATCCGGGTATCCAAACTGATAACGAGAACAGTACCATCACTTCGAGTAGGAATCCAACAAATAAATACACTCAGGAGCCCAAATAAATTTACTGAATCTCAACTGATGCAAAAGCTGTATGGTCAGGGATCCTTTCAACAGGATAAAGCAGGCAGAACCATTCAACGAATGAAAATCTCTGATCCCAAAGAAACCATGGCCTCCAGGTAAACATCACATAAAGCTGAGTTTGCGTGCTCTGTATGATCATGGCATACACACAATAGGGAACCTTGAGAAGTAACTCCTCACACCAGAATAAATCTTGCCATACAGAACCATGACCTATTTCTCCTGGACCATTTTGCAGGTGGCTGTTTCAACTGCAGTAAACAGGCATAGTCACACTGAAAACAATTTCAGTTTTCCTACTAAAATACAGGAGTATAGTCTACTGAAGAAGAGACAAGAGAGGAAAATGGGAGTTCAAAGGATTACACAAGTTTGAAGTTGTCCATAGTAAGTCATGAATGCAACTTTTGAAAGAAGAAAACTCTTGAGTCCCATATTTGTATATATAGGTATTTTTAAATGAGGTGCGACCCAAGTCACCTTCTATTTGGGGGTAGATTTCAGGAGCCTCCTTGGCTTCTGATACCTACTTCTACTTTCACAACTGAAATGGCTCTTCCAAGCTACATGGTAAACTGAGAAAAAAAACCCAATTCTCCACCTGGAGGGACAACAGAATCCATAATATGCTAGCAGCATTTAAATCCCATTCCTGTTAAGCACCAAAACCATTTCTATAGGGAAACTGTAATCTTAAGGATTATCTTTAATCATATACTGTATATGTGCAGAGCCCTACCTTTCGGGCAGAAAAATACGCCTCCAGCATTAGTTTCAAATAGATTACATCAATTGGAAGTGTCCTGGTCAAATCACCAAAAACATATTGTCTCTTACAGGCCCTTCCCCAAAAGATCCCCAACCTATGACCACTCTTGATGCTACTTTCATGACTGTTTGTTCCCGTGTATTAAAGGGATGACGTAGACAGAGATGTCGTCTCCAGAGCCCAGCCTGTCGTTGGATATTCGCCAGCCCCGGTCCTTCAGCACTCCCCTGGCTCGCATCACCAGGTCCTGCGCCGCCAGCGTGTACCTGTGGAAAAGGCAGAATACAGCCAGGGAGTGCTCATCTTCATGAGGAAAGTGGGTTTCACAGCCTGCCAGACTCACTGTGGTGAGCTACCAGGACAAGCTTCCCAGTGTTTTAGAAGCAAGCAGGAGAAACGCAAACCATGGCACACCCACAAAGCAATCCCTTCCAGTTCAGTGACAGCTTCTGCATCAGAACCTAAAGGTATTTGACAGGCACCAATCTATCAAAAAGTCACTGGTCAGTCTGGGTGCCTGGCTTCACCAGTTTTCAGAAAAACATTAACACATTTGACTTAACAAATTGGCTTTTTAGGAGAAGTCTGAAAAATTGAGGACCCTAAATAGCACCATTTGCTGTTGAAAACTACACCCTTGTTCACTGACATGCCCGAAGGTAAACACGGCTCGACTATTTCAGAAACAAACTGTAATAAAGAGAGTAATTTGAAAGCAAGTAGTAGAGCACTAGAAAAATAAATCCAAATTACACTTTAAACCAAGTAGACTAAGTTCTCTGTTTTCCTTGACTGTAAGAATGATTTTTAAATCTCTCTTATTCTGAAACTGGAAAAGGAAACTTACAGTTAATACAGCCAGATTAACGGAGTCCCACAGTCCTCTCACATTTATGAGTTCAAAGAAAACTGTGTGAATGAATGTGAGTTGTCAAGTGCTTAATTTAGTGAAATACCAAGTTTCATGTTGCTTCAAAACTCCCAGCCTGTGCTGGGCTGAACAGCATTAAATTTACGTGAGTTATTTTCTGTCCTGAAAAAATAACAGATGCTGCTTAGGGGCAGAAGGGTGTCAGAGTCCAAAAGGTGGTGCACAGACAGTGCTCTGACATGTTCTCCCTTATCGTTTTACCTGCTGTCACTAGATAAACACATCTCTGTACTCATTTAGAAGTTTCCTCTGAAAGAAGTCTCATTATAGGTAAACAGCTAGTGTCACGTGTTTTTCTTCATCAGTCCAACACCTGGCTGAGATGTTTTCAAGTTGGCTGGGTAAAGACAAGCTTTTCTATGATTTGATAATTAAAAATTAATTGAACAGTTAAAAGACTGACAGGAAAAAAGCAGCTGAATATTGTGTCTGCCTGTGTTTTATTTGAAGGATAAGTATCAACCTCCAAGATGATGCGGGGCTCTATGAAGCCAAACACACAGACCACCAGAAGCAAAGCACATCTCTGTAGCTTCCAGAAACCAGGAAGGACAAGACGGGTCTACATTTCAAGATCCTCTTTTCAAGGGAGGATCCTTGGCCAGAAATGATCTGCCCAGATCCCATCTGAGGAATGGGAAAGAACAGTATCTCCATTGACCAGAAGAAGGGAGGGTGGGTGGTAGGGGAAGTTTGTTAAGTGAGTATCCAGGACTGTTCTAACCCCAGAAATTTTCACCAGAGAATGCATTATTAAATGGTAATTTCTGTCAGTAGAGGCTTTGTTCACTCTCTGGGCGTAAAAGAAAGAAAAAAACCCATTTATGTTCTGTTTCTACAATTTTGGTGCCGCAAACTCAAATGACTCTTTTGAACCAGGAATAGATTTACTTGCTCTACCAGAAAGATTTCTTCATTTCAAATAAACCAACATTTGACTACTCAAAAGGTCTGATGTTAAATGCAAGTCATGTTGTACAGAAGCAATACACCCCCTGCTCCTAATGGTACCGAGTGGTAAAATTTCCAGCCCTCACTAGTTTTGACAAAAGATTTACTTTCAGCACCAAGAGGAGGCCCCAAGGCACGAACTCTAAGACACGGGCTTGCACGCACACGTGCATGCTGTCCGCAGGTTCCAGGCTAAGTCTGTACCAATGACCCCGAGCTATAATGACAGGATGTAACAAGAAGCGCTGCCCATACTGTCCTACTGCAACATGGAATTCTGTATTTTCTAAGGGGAGAAAACCCAAACGTACATACTTGCACTCCCCAGCTCCCAAATCCCCAAATCAGATGCAGGGCAAAGGAACAAAAGGACTCCACGTGGCAAGTGAGCAACTGGAATATTTATTCACAGCATGTCTGAAGCTGAGTGAATTTTGGATAGAACATCTTTTCCAAGGATTTTTCTGCTATTGTCAGAATTTAAGAGAAGAAAACACCCATCATTCAGGGAGAAAACTTTGCCTTCCTCCTTATTCTAATTAACAAGGGCTCCCCACATCTAAAGAGTACAAAGGAATGAGTGTTGCTCTTGATTGTGTAAAGCTTTTGCTGCTTAATGTCTGGAGAGGGTAAGATTAAAAAAAGGAATATTAATAAACCAGAAATTCTCTCAGAGACAGACTGTGAAATACACAAGAAAACCAGCACATTGAGGGCAAGGAAAAGGAACAGGTGAAAGCAGCAGTGAGGTAACATATTCCTCTTCTTGTGTAGAGCTGAATTGGAGCGATGCTGTTCAACTTGGCACTGGAGGAGATAGGGTGAGTCTCTTGTACCTGGAGATGAATAGCAGCAGCAGTCCATTACCGAATGCTTTATTCTCCAGTACTGTGAATTTGGGATTCAGCTGTCAAGACAGCATTAGAGAACTGCTGAAGGAGTTTTAAAGTATCCACTTCCTCCTAATGAACAGCCTCACTGCAACACAACTTTTGTGTTTTAAGAATAAATATGTATGTTTTTTTCTCTTCTGCTGAAGCTTTCAGTATTGATCAGTGAAAGCACTGCAGGAGAAAAGGTGACAGTGGGGGAAACGTGCTGCTGCCTGAGCAGCTTCTTATCTTCTCACACCCAGCAGAGATGGAGCAACTCCCCAGCATCCTCATAAATCTCTAGCTAGTATAAGAAGAGAGTGAGAGGGAATGAGAAAGGACAGGAGGGAGGACAAGAAATAAAAGATTCCCAAGGTCAGTGGGTAAACTACGTAAGTGCAGCTGAAGGAAATAGGCAAGAGTCATGCTCCTCTATCTTCATACCTTTTCAGAGGATGATGTATAGAAAGCAGCAGTGTGTTGCTATCACCTGTTCTTCACTCAGTGTCCCCTTCATGCTCTTGTCTGCCACAATACCCATAAGAAATGAGCTGGCTAAGAAATCCAGTTCCACCCCAGCTTCTTCACTCCATCGCAGCCCTCACAGAGGAACCGCTCTCTAATCAAGTCTGTGCCCATCACTCACTACCCAAATCCCTTGAGGTTGTGTCTGCATGTCTGGGTGAAGACAGACTCGAGGACTTTGCTCTCCCTGCACTTGGAGATGCCCAGGCACATGCTGGGTTTGACAGGATTCAAAGATGTTTTTCTGTGGGTAACAAACACTCACAGGTCTGACAGTAAATATCTGCAGAGAGAGTCCCAAGAGTGTTGCTGAGGGCCATAAGCTCTTACCCATCAGGCTATAAAATTACTTCTAATTCAAATGGGAGGGATATTGTTCCCTCAAAGAGCTTATTATGTAACAGATAAGTACTGTGCAGCTCTAAAATCTTCCTCCCTAGCTGCCTTTTTTTTTTTTTTTTTAAAATATGCTGCTGTCAGGAAATAAGTAGGCCACTAGGTCAGGCGGCTTCAGAGTCTGCTCCACAGGTAGGTTCTCCAGAAGGCTACAGTATTACCAAACCCACGGGGCAAGTCTCTTACATTCTGACAAGTTTTCTACATCCCTAGAGATTTCACGTTTCCAGCTGGTCACCTCACCACAAACTATGTCACTACGCCCATCACAGTACCTGACATTTTGTGGGATAACATTTCCTTTAAACATAACACTGATAACAGGCAAACCAAGATTTTCCTGTCACTGACTAGCGAGAGGAATGAACGCAGCTCCAGAGTCTGAGCTGCTACGCTATTGTAAATTCATTAGTTATACCTCATTTGGACCTCTGTGAAGTAATTACATAAAACCTCTCACACAGTACTTTAAACCCTTTAAATATTCTTTACAACCAAGCAGCAAGAGCAATTCCACGAAGGTAATTTTCATAAATATCATTGTAAACTATATGAGAGACTGCTCTAATTACCTTTTGCGAGCTGGTGTGAGAAATGTCTTGCCACCACTGTTTGTAAGCCTCCAAATGACCTGGCACAAAGTTACTTAAAAGAACAAATTAATTTTCGATTCAGATGTCCATTCATAGACCAGTAGGTCAAACACTAATAAATGTGTTTGTTCTAACTCATAATACAGCAGGCCCAATTCTGGACTGTGTTGTGCTCACATCCTGTACAAACAGGGACAAACCCTCCACAATTATTGGGGCTAAACCAGCACAAACAAATCTAAACAAAACAAAGAAAATATCTTTTTCCTTTAGTGTCTCTGATTTCTGTAAGTATTTTAAAATGGATAAAAAATTGCTCCCCCAACAAGTCAAAAAGATCGAACAAAGAGTTGCCGTTCCTACTGCAGTGAATGTGGTGGCCATCACCAGCTTTAGAAAGACCAAAAAGAACAAAACAGACACAGCGTACGCAGACTGTATTCAGAACTAACAGATAGGACCAGCAAGGACGGCAGGAAGAGCTAACCTTTCCCAATTATTAGATGAGAATGGAGACAGAGTGAGGCAGAGGTATTACATTTCACTAGGTGCCTTTGCAAGAAGACTCAGGGGTGCAGAAATGAGAGCAAAAGCTCCCTAGCACCTCTTGACAGAAAGTAGCTTGGGTGGGTCATCTCCTCCTACCTTAAATTAATGGCATAACTGCACAGCACAGTGACAGATGCCCGGGAAGAGCCCCTTGCTAATCCTGCCTGATCTCCTCCCAGAGAGGGGGCAGAGACACTTCTCTTGCTGAAACAGAGACAGTCTTGGCTCTCATTCACAACACATCTCCTCTTCAGCACAAGATGGTAGGGAAGATGAAAATATTGCAGTTGCAGCTCCATGTTAACCATCCATTCAACTGAAGACTGAGTGCTTGCGGCAAAACGTCATTTTGCATTTCATGTTTGTAAGTGTCAGAGCAAGAAAATACTACTCGTGAGTTACTTTGGAGCTGCTCCCACTTGAAAACCCAAGTGGCTGCCAGGGTGTCTCAGTTATCTTCCTTGTTTGCTGATGGAGAATCGGGCTGACCCCATGAAGATGACCACTCAGAAAAATGAGAAATACCAAGCATTTTGAGATGGGCTTCCCCATGTCCTCAAGAGTTGCCACATCTAAATCTCTAACTTGAGCTCTCACGCTGTCCCACATATTTTCACTTGGCTGCTGAGATATCTCAGAGCCTATTTCTGAAGCTCTGTTTTCTGCAGGCCAACTGGCCAACTGGGGATGCTTAAAAAGCTTTTCCCCACTTTCAGGCCAGGGCGAGGGCAGGAGACAGCAACAGCCAGGCCTGAATTCAGAAGCAACACACACTTCCCTTCCTGAACAGTCCCTAGGGAAGGATAAAGCTCTTTCCACTTTCACAGTCCTCTCTTTTACAAGCGAGAGACTTCTGATCTCTAGCGTAATGTTTTAACTCACGGCGACACCAAACTCGGCAGCAGACCGACTGACGGACTCGCTCGAGGCAGACGGTACTCCAGCTAGTCGTTTGGGAACTTGTTTGTTTGCCTGATGGTATGTTTTAAAGAGAGAAGCTGACCAAGTCAGAGGTGATAAAGACAGGAAAATGAAGAGGATGAGGTAGGTTAAAATTGTGAAATGAATCAGAATCCAACTAAATGAAACAGAGTCAGACTTTCCACCTATTTCCACCCTTTGTCACCACACCTATCCTGCAGCTGGTAGCACTGAGCATCCTCTACTGAAGGTGGGTTTGAAGGTCACAGCATGACCAGAAATGAATGAGAATCACATTGTGCAGTATGTATACATACATACAGAGTGAGAGATATGCTGATAATGTGCTAGTTAGAAACAATCTTTAGTCTTAAGGGACTATCCAGAGGAGACTGAAGTAGAAACCTGTGACTGCTGGAGACAGAGGTGTGTTGCTAAGACCTCAGCCTCCTAGTTTCCATGGAACCTCATACAGCAAACAGAACATGCCAAGATACTGTGATCCCACAACTATTCCTTTGAAGGTAGGCAATTCTGAGTTATAACAGACTCTCCCCACCATCCCTATCCTTCACACTTGCTGTAGAGGCTCCCTACAACTTATAAAAATGTCTTCGTGTAAGTGTTGTGTATTTATTTAATGTTATTCATATCATACTTGTCTACAAAAATACATTACCAGAAAGTGCTCTTCCACAGAAAAGCTAGAAAATCAGGGATGAGCACAAACCTGTGGGGATCATCGGGGTCACAGTTTGGTAGAAAGTTAGTGACAGCTTCTGCCACTTCTTCATTTAACAGCACATCCCAGAGTCCATCAGTAGCTAGGATCAGAACATCATCTGGACCATGCTCGTACTGCAGGAGATCATAGACTCTCACCTAAAACAAAAAAAATCCAAGAGACAACAATGAAGGAGGAGACTGCCAGACGTGTTTGTGAAACATTGTCGAGTTTGGCTGTGAGTTGGCAGGTTCGGCCAGGGCACTGAAACACCTCTCCCGCAGCACTGCTGGGGTCTGTCTCCAATTCAGCCCTCGAGCCAGCAGCCCTTCCTGCCCCAGCTCAGTGCAGCTCAAGTGCTGACCCCCGCCGGGACGGACACAAGGGTTCCTAAGCCAGGCAGTAAAGCACCGCACTGCCGGCTGCCCACAGCGCTTCAAGCCTCCCCCTCCCGGCAGCCTGGTTTCAGCATGTGAGGCTCTTCCCTATCGTTGGCAGGACTAGTCATATGGAAGCTGAATAATTTATTTGATGAATTTTTGATATTTTCTAATAAAATATTCACAAACAATTGTTTTCACTATTTGTCCAGATCCATTTAGCTCTGCCAGATAAATTGCACATGTTCAGAAATGCCTGCGTCACAGAAGGCATCGCGTTCACTTTTCTAGACCTGAGGCAGCTGCTGCACTCAAGAACTACGTCTGAGCAAGTGAGTAGTCCCATGAAACGGAGGAAACCGTGTAGCTGCTCAGTTATGTGTATTTGTAAGTAATTAAGTAGGTAGAGACTGATTCAAGATCGGCACAAAAGTGGACCGCCAAGCTTATCCACACTATTGAAATGCCCACTGGCTTCACCTTGTCAGTCTGCAGCCGCAGTCAGGCTGACCACTGCTGCTGGCACCTCCATAACACCTTGCCTTTCCAGCAACTTCCACCACTGTCTTCCTGACGAGGCTGGGGAGACCCAGGAGCGGAGCGGGGGCAGACACCGAGGGGACCAGGAGGCTGTCAGCTGAGCCAGAATATGAGGAAAGGTCATAGTAAGTGTTTTAAACCGAGCCTTTAGTTGGTGTAACCGTCCTTCCAGCACACACTGTATTCCAGCTGATAAACCGCCTGCAATTTCCAGGTTGCAATGGGGAGCCGTTACAAAGCACTCGCAGAGCACTTGAATTACCACAGCAAGAACCACAGTTCGAAAGAAGTGTGACAACCTTGGCAAGGCAGACAGGAGGAAACGATCATCTGTACTGAAGTTTGGAAATGGTGCACCTCGTCACGCACCCTGCTCCGGCTTCGGGCTCCACTAACAGCAGCAGCAGTCAGGAAATTTGTTGGAACAAGCATTTGGCGTAACTAGAAAATACGAGCTGTTTTATTCTCCCTCCTGGTGCATTCTCCCCTTAGGAGCCATGGAGCAGGCAATGCACATAAAACGCCTGGACCTTTTAATGTAATTATGATTTTATGGGACCACAACCAGTACCGGAGGAAAAAAATAAAAAAATCACCTAGACCTGACTGCTAATCCTTACTTGTTCGCCTTTCACTCAAAAGCACAAGAAGGTCATTTGTAAAATGTAACCTTCACTTCATTATCTAAGGTAGCAGCTGAATAAGGACTTCGGAGAGGATTAAAGTCAAGGCGAGATACTCTCTTCATTAGAGCGTATCTCCTTGTTCAGATTGAGGGGGAATACTGTTATAGAAAAGATCCTTATATGCAGCACAGCTCTCCTCTCAAGCCCACTGCACAGAAACCAGCAGCTGTCATAGTCCCCATTCCCCAAAATTTAGTTCAGCCTGTAAGAGCCCAGAGTTTCAACTCAGCAGTCACTGGGGTGTGGGGGTAAGTTGGCCAACACGGCCATCAATCAGCATCACGTGTTCTGGTCAGATCTCTTGGGTACAGGCAAATACTTGAGAGAGCACCAGGGTTAATGCTCAGGGATGTGCCCAGCAGCAAGATCCTCATAGGAATAACCGAGCTTTGAACGTCAGTGCTAGGAAAAACACATCTACTGTTGCTCTCCCACCCAGGCAAAGTACACATTACACCACGTGAGCCTTTTTTGTAGCACCGGTGGGGTAGAAGGCAGGAAACCAAGACCATGAATTGCTGATTTGAATCCTCCTGAAATGCACGATCTTGTCTGAGGAGCAGCACTGGGGCAAATAAGAAGCTTGTCAAAGCTACCTGCAGCCAATCCACAGGTCAAACAGTTCAAATCCTTGGAGCAGCACAATGTTAGAGCAACACCAAGAACAGACCATTTTACCAAGAACATGTTTAGTTTTTGAGGAAAAGAAAAAAACAATGCAATCACTGATTTTACGAGTAATCTCGTAACATTAATTAGTTAATTAATCTCGAACAAAGTACTTAGCTCCTAAAAGCAAAAGCTTTGTGAGATGAGCACCTCCAGAAAGGGCTGCAACTCAGAAGGAACTAGATGTCAGAAGAGGTGTAGAGAATGGCAGTGGGGTGAGCAATACGGGATGCTAGGCTGGTACCCAGGCTAAGGAAAAGAGAGTGCCTGGGTTACAGGAGGTAAGCTTGGGGCAACTTCAGGGACATTTCTTGTATACAAAGACCAGTTGGACATGCAACAAAATGTTCAGTGAAATGCAGCTTTACCTGCCTTCCAGTTACCACAGCAGCAACACATTAGGGCAGCCATGTCCACATACTTAATGTTTTCTTAAGCTCTTTCTTTCTGTCTTTCCTTGGATTTCTAAAATAGGTGCCCCCGGTACGTTGCTGACAAAACAAGCTAATTTAGAGCTGTGCAGTCTATCATAGGTTCAGGTTATGCTCACAGACCACCTTGCCCAGGAGCAGAAACAAGCCAGCTCCTAACCCTGCACTTATCTACTAGCAGCTTTGTTCTAGTTCTTACTTGCGTCAATGAGGG